TTTTTTTTTTTTTTTTTTTTTTTTTTTTTTAATGGAATATTTCATCACCTGACATTCAAATCCTCCCCACGCTGCTACTGTTTGTCCTCCGGGCAAGGATGCTTCGCTCGGAGGATGCGACAGGAGGGCCGGGAGCCTGCGGAGGGGTGGGAATATCCAGCTCCTGGCTTTGTACTCGCTTTGCTTCTCCCACATTTCGCTTAGGGGATTAACAAATTCCAGCGAGAAAAGATCTTTGTGTCAGCTTAATTGCAGCGTGTAGCCTCTCACGCATGCACTCTGCAAGCAAATGGTGCCTATGTGCCATGCCTTCCCTCCGTTTTATCCCATATTTTCCCTATAGGATTAGGTGGAGGAAAGGCTGGAGATCTGCAGGCAAAAAAAGGAAAATGAGAAGCTTTGAATTGAAACCCTCTTGCAGCTCCTTCCGCACCAGAAACCCGCTTATGTTCCGCCGGAGGCAGAAGGTGGCACGAAAACATAAATTAACCCTCTGCTTGCTCTCTCTTGCAGCCATGCACGGCCACTTCGACGTGGTGGAGCTGCTCCTGGCACGGTAAGCCAGCCTCGTGTAGAAGGTGCCTCTCTCCTGCTTGCCATCCTGACACCGTGTCCCATTTTCCCAGCTTTTCCCAGCCATTTTGGGGCCTTGGGGATAAGTGTTTGGCTGACAGGCACCGGCTTTGCTGTGGCATGAGCCCCGTTACGTAACCCAGCTCTGCTTCTCTGCTGATTCATCCCAGTTGCCTGCAACGTGTCGGTGGCTGCGCGATAATGAGGAAAGGCTTTTGTGGCAGCTCAGGCTGGGCTTTATCCTTAGGCTTTATCCTTAGACTGCTCCTAACTGCTGCTTTAAACCAACCGTCCTCATCCTATTGCCTTCCTGAGCAGCAGCAGCAGCTCCTGCTGCCAGAGCCACCAGCAGGTCCCTTTAACCAGCCCGTTCCAGCCTTGCTGACCGCTCTGAGTGTTTGGCTCGTGGTGACTGTAGCCGTTTATGCTGTGCCTCAAGCCAGGCTTTTGACTTTGATTTGGTCTTTTCTCCCTTCATGGTACTCCCGTGTTGGTCATGGCCCAGTAAAGCCCCCAGGAAGGTTTAACATGTGCTCGGGATAGGCTTTGCCTGTCTTTTTTGGTGAAATCTTACCAATAGTTTCTGGTGTTTTCCAACACAAAGCAACGGTGCAGTGAGTGTTGTGGAGATGCCAGCAGCTCTGTGCTCAGGGGTGGCTTTTATCCCCTCTGCCAGGTGCCACTACAAACCTGACAGCAGGGACAACTGCGGAGTCACTCCCTTTATGGATGCCATCCAGAACGGGCACGTGGACATCGCCCGGCTCCTCCTGGAAAAGCACCAGGTAGGTGCCTGAAACCTCTTTTCCCTCCTCCCAGACCTGTCCTGGAATTGCCACACAAGGCAATAACCACTGTGCTCATCGTAACCAAATTGTGAAAAATCAATGTGGGCAAATTCCCCTGGGAATTAAGCAAGATTTAGCGGCGTGAGGATTGAGTAAGAACATCAGGACCAGGCTCCTGGTCTTGCCTTTGCTTGTACATGAAGGTATAAAATGTTTGCAAGGTTTCCTGACATTTTTGAATGGGGAACATGGAAGGGTTGATTTAATTCCCCGTTCTGATGCCTGGCTGACTGCCACGAGGCTGCCACTGCAGATGCCAGAGGCCTTGTCGCTACCTTCTAGGTTTTGTAAATCCAAGTCAGGCAATGGGGAAGCAAGAGGTGAGATCAGATCCCCTGCCATGAGCGTGCCCAGTGTTTCCCCTATTTGCCTTCTTGCTTCTGCATCCTGGCAGTTCAAGTTCAGGGACCTGCAGAGCTCCCATGGGATCATCCCATTTGCCTCCCTGCATGGGCTGCTGCTTGTCCTTGAAGGCTCCGGTTGTGTCGACCACCGCTCTCCCCGTCCCTCCTTGCTGCCCTTCCAGGCCTGCCCGTCGGCCGCGGACGCGCTGGGCGCTCAGGCTCTGCACCTGGCGGCCGTCACGGCCCAGGACGGCGCCATCCGCTTCCTCGTGTCCGAGCTGGGCACCGACGTGGACGCGAGAGCGACGGCCCTGCGCCTCACAGCACTGCACTACGCCGCCAAGGTTGGTCTCTTAACCCCCCTGGCAAAGTCTCTGCCAGTTGCTGACCTCCCAGCCAGCCCCTGAAGGAGCTTTTCCCTCTCTGTGGCCATGGGATTTACACTATAGGGAGCAGCTCTTGAGAAGTGATGGTTCCTCCTGGCAGAGGAGATGGGGACGAATCAAACTGCTTTGAGTTGCAGCCAAGTGAGGGCAGTCTGAGCACTCTCCTGCTCCCATCCTTCACCCACGAGGCTCGTGGGGCTTGCTGAGCACCTACACTGCTCGCTGGGTGTGCAGAGAAGTCCCCAAGCCCTCTGCAGCCACCCGGATTCCTTCTGGACGCCGTCCCCCAGACGCCTGGGTGACACTTGCTGAGCGCTGGCAGCCACATTCCCCTCCAGCAGGACCCAGCCAGGGCATTCGCTGGCTCCCACAAAGGAGGCCTTTCTCCCGGCCTCCCTTCCTCATGCTCCACGAAACCCCACTGAAAGCCCTCTTGGTTGCCAAGGGTACGTTTAACAGCACGGCTCTTGGGGAGCACAATGTGCCTTGGAGAAGATCCCAGCTCTGTCCTGGCGAGCGGCTGGTCGGAGAGCGACCCAATAGGTTCCTCTTCCTTCCCGAGGCTCGCTGTCACTTCGTATTTACAGCATTGTTTGTTTGCCTGGTGGCATTTTTTTCTTCCCCGCCTTAATTCTTGTTGTTTTGCATTTATAAATACGTGAAAATCAAATTACACTTTCAACTCGATTTGCTGCCAAGGCCGTGGCAGCCCAAGCGGTTCCTGGCTTGATGTTTTTGCCGCACAGAGAGGGTGCGCGGGGAGGAATAGGATGCAACCAAGTCGTACAATAACGGGGGAAAGAGGGGCTAAAAATAAGGCTGTCCTGCTGTGTGACAGAGCCTAATTCATTGCAGCAAAGGAGGAAGCACAAAATGAAGCCTTGTTTTAGGGAGAGAGGATCTGAGGCTCTAGATTTCCGAGGTGAACTCGTGTTACGGTGTGAGGGTTGCACGCAGCTTCCTGCTGATTTTTAGGCCTCTCCTCAAAGACCCCGTTGCCAACTATTAAAGGTAAGTCCAAGATCCTGCAGCTCTGTGGCCAGCTGCAGTTAAAAGCAATTTAATTGAGTTATTTGAATGGAGACAAGAGTTGGAGAGAGAAGGTGAGCTCGCTTGACAGTTTCAGTGCACTTAATTTGCTGTTAAGGAACATCCTGGGGCTTTGCCACCCTGCTGTAATCACTGGGAGCCCGGTCTCCAAATTCCACATCCTTGAGGCCCCCTCGTCGTGCAGGGTGGCCAAGGAGGCTGCTGAGCCACGACCAGGAGGATCCTACGGGATGCACGGTCACCTACACCAGGACTTGGATCTGGACGTGGTTGACTCCTTCACATCTGTCCTGCCAAGCTGTAACATCACCATTGGAGATGGCTCTTTGCCATGGATGATTTTTAACTGCTTCTGGTCCAAGCTGAATCCCTTTAATTTTAAACATCACGTTAATTGTTGGCAGAGGGAATTAGGCCCCTGCTTTGCTCTCTGTTCAGCCTCTGTGAGGCTCCCACGGGGGAGGCTCTCTGCAAACTCGCTCCTGCAGAGTGTCCCGTGCTCGCCCACGCAGGAAGGACACACTCACACCATCGAGACGCTGCTGTCCCTCGGTGCCGACGTCCACGCCAAGGACGGGAAGGGCCGCTCGGGTAAGGCTGCAGCTGTCCCTTCTCCCTGCCCCCTTTGCATGAAGCTTTCAGGAGCCCAACATCCCTCCCTGCTTCCCTACATCTCCCCCGAATGCAGCTGCAATTGGGCAGGGCAGAACTCCGAGGGCAGCAGGCATGGGCAGTGATTGCACAGGCATCTCTTTTAAAAAAATATATATATTAAAAAAATACAAATATATATATGTATAAAAATGGCTTCAATCGTTGCCAAAATTGGCAACTTCCCCAGTGTTCAGGTTTTGCTCAGGAACCCGCTTCCGTGGTGAGCGTGGGCAGCCTGGTATCGCTCAGCCTCCCTCCCTCCCAGCCCCTAGCGAGTGGGTTCAAGCTCTGCTCAACTTGTCCAGCCCTGCAGGTTTGTTGTGGTTTCCTGCCGGCCCTGGTCGTGTCACCCTGTCCCCAGGGCGCCGCTTCAGAGGGAGCTGGTGGGGAGGAGGGCTCGTAGCTCCTCCACCTGCGCAGCTGGGTGAGGAAGAGGATGTGTCCCCTGCCCTGCCTCAGCAGTTTAGTCATCCTGCCCCTGCTGCAGCGGGGCAGCTGAGCCCTGTTCTGTCACTGCGCGGGTAACACAACCGCACCAAAAAAGTCCTTTTTTCACCCTTGCCGCGTTTCCTCTGCGGCTTCCATTTCCCTCCGTGCAGCTGCAGCTGAAGCCGAGGGAGGCCGAAGCCGCCGGGGAATCTCGGTTCCTTCCTTGACGTCCCTCCTCCGTCCCCGCAGGGCTGCACATGGCATGCGCGGGGCAGCACGCGGCCTGCGCGCGGCTGCTGCTCGGCGCCGGCCTGCGCGACGTGCCGGACAGCGCGGGCGGCCTCGCGCGCCGCCTCGCACGGGATCCCCGCGTCCTCCGGCTCTTCCAAGACGCCGACGCCTGAAACTGGCCCAGGAAGAACATTTGGAGCACAGGGATGTTCCTCGGCCCTGGCGACTCTCCGGATTTAGGCGGCCACCTGCGTAAGAGTGGGATTTTTAGCCGAGGATTGAGCGCGGAGCTCCAGCTTGCCACGTGGGAAGTGTGGCCAGGAGAAAGCGCTGCCCTAAATAGGATTATCTCGATGAGATAACGGGCGTAATGCACCCGGGCTTTGGCACCGCTGCCCAACCCCGTCCTTGCAAATTCATGGCTGCTCTTCCTTCATGACCATATCCCAGGGCTGATTTACATCTCCTCATCTCCGCTTGTGCCAGCACATCCCAATGTTGGAATCCGTACCTCCTCATGGAAAACCCCGTGAGGAACGTGCTCCGGGTTGATGACCTCGGGGGACCTGTGTGCCTTGAAGCCCGTGGAGCCTGGCTCTTCACAGGATGTTTCACAACATCCTGCAGGAAAAGATAAACCCGGAGCACTGATTTCTAAAGCTTTCTCTGGACCCACAAAACTGTTAAACTGCTTTAAGCGACCTCCTCTTTCAGCAGCATCCTGGAAGAAGCCAAGGAGCTTCAATGATCTCCTGGTGACTTCAAGCACCTGGTGACCTCAAGCAACTTGGAGCTGCCTCAGGGTAAGCGAGATGCTTCCATGCCACGATTCATCACAAAGATCCCGAGCCGAAGAGACTCCAGAGTGTCCGCCATGTCCCTGAAAACCAGAGCACCAGGGGCAATTTCCAGGACTGTGTGTTTCCCTCGGACTCTGCTGATGGAGACGAATAGCTTGTGAGTCAGGACTTCATGAGAAAGCAAAGGAGAGTGTTCCTAGATTTGTTCCTAGCTTTCCTGGCCTTAGTAAACACCTCAGAAAAAGCAATTTGTGTTATTTGTGTGATGTTTTATGATTTCTGAAGGATTCCTGTCAGTAGCAGAGGGCTGGGCAGTGCCTGGACAGGAAGCTAAGAGCCTCCTCTCATCAAAGACACTTCCTCGGCCATGCTCATTCCTCACCCTTCTCCTAAATCCAGGCTCGATTAAATCCGTAAAATAAAAAGCGTAGGGCTGGACTGGCTCCTGCCATCGCGCACGGCACAAGGAACAAGCAGCCATGGAGCTCAGGTTCAGCCTTTCTCCTCCCCTTGGGGTGAAACCCAGGCTTTTTGGGGTAGCCTTCTTCAGGAGGACACCATTTTTGGGGTATTTTGGAAGGGAATCGGTGCAAGCGCCGTCACGGTCAGCTCTGTCCCTGCCGCCCTACAGTTGCGCTAAGAGGCTGTAAGCGCTGACAGCGCAGGGCAGCTCTGGGCGCTTAATCCCGGCTTGGGCCTCTAATCCCGGCCGGGGACAGGCCCAGCCTGGGGGTCAGACACAGCACAAACAGCACGACCGAGCACAGATAAACTCAGCTCACGGGTGGTGGCCCCATTGGGAATTCTGCACTTCCCGGCATCCAGCCCAGTGCTGATTCCGCTTGCTGACTCCTTGGAAAACAGCTGTTGTTTTTTTTCCCCCTGAGTTTGGGATTGAATCAGTGGCAAAGGGAGGTGCAAGGCGGGGTTCCCCAGGGCTGGGAAACTCCAGCCTCTACGGAAACAAAGCTGGGAAATGCCCCCAAAAAACTACAAAAGACAGAACTTTCTCAAAGCCGCCTCCGCACAGATGTGACACTGGGGCTTGGGGTGTTTTGGGGTAAAAAAGGGGCAAAGGGGGAGGTGTTAAGAGGGAGAAATGAAAGTGGTCCCAAAAGGGGAAGTGGGGGCTGCCCCCCCGGGAGCCGTTTTTGGGGATGATGGAGGCAGCGGGACCCAGGGCACGGAGGAGGGGCTGGAAAGAGCGGAGCTGGAAGGGATGGAAGGACGTGAGGGTGGAAACAGCAGAGTTGGGAGAATGGAGGGTGGGAAGGAGATGGAAGCATGAGAGGATGGAGGGATGGAGGAAGGGGAAAATGGAAGGAGAGAAGGGAGGATGGAAGGTGGAAGAAGGATGGGAAGATTGGAAGGATGGAGGGAAGGGTGGAGGGATGAGAGGCTAAGGGTGCAAGGATAGGGTGGAAGGATAGAGGGTTGGAAGGACAGAGGGATGGGAAGAGGGAGGATGCAAGGAGGGATGGGATGGAGGGATGGGAATATGGAGGGGGGAGGGATGGATGAGGGGATGGAGGGATG